AAAATTACGTGTATATTACGTGCATTTTTGTATTTTACAACGTAAATTACGTGGCTTCAAAAAAATCCTTGTAATTTACCAACCTTAGTATTTACAAATAAATATCTTATTTGTTCATTCATTTCATAAATAAAACAGTATTTGACATAAATTTAGTTTGAATTTTGTTTAAACATAACATTCTGTTCAATGAGTTCGTTGTTATTTCATACATAATTATTACAATTTTGGGTAAGTTTTGAATCAAAAATTAAAAAGTTATAAAACATGTTTTTATTATTTTATATAAATTACTTAACAATAGGACTCCGATTATGGATTCATTTCCCGATTTCGGCGCCGGCTTTGAAGAGACAGCACTGGTGTTGCCTTATATCCCATCCATTATATTATTTATCACATCACTGTATGAATGGCACAATCGGTCACCAGAAGTGATAACATCCAGGGGTTCATCACATCCCACGACATGGACTCTACTCTCAATCACTAAAATTGTATTTTTATATTGAATTATTTTATAATAGCTTAATTGTTCAATCAATTAATTAATTTAATTACTTTTAGTGTTTATCGGGAGTGCTATTAATATTGAGTTTTTCACAACTCTTGATCGAAATCAACGATTATATAAACGCTTCTTATTATACGAAAAATTCAGTGGAAATTATTAAACATTTTATAATGACATTAACTTTTGTAAGAATTCAAAAATTATATGTATACTTGATTAATTAATAATTTATATTTTAATTTATTTAATAGATTTATACAATTGTTTTGTCAATTAATTACAAGAAGAGAGGAATGAATACTTCAGGCGTTTTATTTATATTCTGGTTGTGTTTGTCTATTGGGACGGCATTTGACATAAGGACTATATTTTACATTGCATTCAGTGATGTAATTAATTAATAATTAATAAATATAATAATTTATATATTTATTTATTTCAAAGTCACCGATAGATTCAAGTATTAATGTCTTCACATTTACCACAAAATCGCTTTCATTCCCAATAATTATCACTCAATTATTGCTCTCATGTTTTGCGGACTCAACACAAGTCTTCACAACTGTTGCCGACAGAGAAGTACTGAATACAAAACAAGAAATATATTTAATTTTAAAACTTAAATATTTATTATTTCACTCAGAATTCTAGTCCCGAAAATGAGTCATCATTTTTATCTCAACTGACATTTTCATGGTTTACACCAATGATTATGAATGGCTATCGGAAACCATTGACCACTGAAGACATGTGGTCGCTGTCCACACAGAATCGGACCAATGTTTTCATCAAACAATTCAATAAACACTGGAAACCAATACAACATAACAGTGCCAAACATGCGATCAATATATTCCCAGTTATACTAAAGACCTATTGGCCAACACTAGTAATCATTGGGTTTATTAAATTAGCGATAAGTTTACTGACATTTACTCAACCCCTGCTACTCGACCGACTCATCACATTCATCACAACTCAGGCCACCACCGATACGGGCGAACCCGTGTGGAGGGGTTATATGTACGCCGGGCTTATGTTTGTGTCGCCGGTGTTGGGATCGGTGTTGAGTGTCAAATACAAGTACATCGAGAATGTCATGATTATGAAAATCAAATCATGTGTCACATCAGCAATTTACGAGAAGGTAAAATATACTAATTTTTTGTTCGATAAGCTAAATAAAATGTTAAATTTACAATAATAAACTAAATCTACATTATAAATTACCAGTCCCTACGGCTGTCCAGCGCCGGTCGCAATAGTCACACTATTGGTGACCTCGTGAGCCTCGTGGGCATTGATATGTATTATTTAGCCTCATTTATCATGTACTTTAATAACCTATGGCTGTCGCCAACGATCGTGATAATCGCCACGTGGTTACTATGGGCTCAGTTGGGCGCCGCCACTCTGGCCGGTGTGGCTGTTATGATACTATTAGTACCAATTAATTCAGTTGTGATGACACGTGAGAACAAATTGTGGCGTAAAATAATTGAATTAACCGCCAGTAGAGTGTCGGTCGTCGCGGAGATGATCAATAACATGAAGGTCTTAAAACTGTACGCCTGGGAACCGGCGTTCATGAAACGGGTATCTGAGCGCAGGGCCAGCGAGTGCCGTGAGGTGATCAGCGTAATGGTGGTCGGGGTTATTAAGAATGCTATTACCACAGCCTCACCATATCTGGTTTGTGATAGCATTTTAATTAATTAATTCATCTGGTTATTAATTTTCATTTTGTATATTTTGGTTAACAATTTTTGTACGATAGGTTAGTTTATGCAGTTTTACGGCATTTCTATACATGTCTGACCAGAATGTTCTGAACCCGAATAAAGCGTTTGTTTCACTTTTGTTGTTCAATATAATCAGTGAGTGAATGGACTTATATTGAGATGTGATATAATAACAAACTTCAAATTAAATGTTACTTTTCATTGTAATAGAGGAGTCGATACGAACCATCCCAGCGCTGGTCACCGCAGCTATAATTGTTAAAAAACTAGTTTTAGTTTATAATTAAATGTTAACTATGTTTTATTTATTTTAGTGTAGAGTTTCTGTGAAGCGAATGAATGAGTATTTAAACGCTTATGAAGTGAATGAGAGTTTCGTTGACCACAAACCCAATCAAAGGACTCCTATTATTGTTAAAAATGCTTCATTCAAATGGGATAACAATTCCGACGATTCTGTGCTCAAGAATATCAACATTAATATCGATAGTAAATCATTGGTGGCAGTTGTGGGTCGTGTGGGCGCCGGCAAGTCGTCCCTATTATCGGCTTTATTGGGAGATATGGAGAAGAATCGGTACGGATATGTGAATGTGAGCGGACGGACGGCTTATTGTCCACAACAGGCGTGGATTCAAAACACAACTCTTCGACAGAATATTCTGTTTAATAGTGAATATAATCCGGAATTTTATAACAAAGTTCTGGATTCGTGTGCTTTGAGACCCGATTTGTCGATCCTTTCGGCCAAAGATATGACAGAAATCGGAGAAAAAGGGATCAATTTGTCCGGCGGTCAGAAACAGAGGGTTTCACTCGCGAGGGCTGTCTATTCAGACGCAGACATATATTTATTGGACGATCCGTTGAGTGCTGTCGACCCACACGTCGGACGACATCTATTTGACCAAACAATTAGTAGACCCCGAGCCGATACACCCGTAGATCTGTTCCGTTGCCAACGCGTGGTTTTAGCGCGTCGTTTGACCACTCCACAACAGGCGTGGATTCAAAACACAACTCTTCGACAGAATATTCTGTTTAATAGTGAATATAATCCGCAATTTTATGACAAAGTTCTGGATTCGTGTGCTTTGAGACCCGATTTAGCAGTTCTTTCAGCAAAAGATATGACAGAAATCGGAGAAAAAGGGATCAATTTGTCGGGCGGTCAGAAACAGAGGGTTTCACTCGCGAGGGCTGTCTATTCCTCGGCAGACATATATCTTTTGGACGATCCGTTGAGTGCTGTCGACCCACACGTCGGACGACATCTATTTGACCAAACAATTGGTCCGAAAGAGAAAAAGGGATCAATTTGTCCGGCGGTCAGAAACAGAGGGTTTCACTCGCGAGGGCTGTCTATTCCTCGGCAGACATATATCTATTGGACGATCCGTTGAGTGCTGTCGACCCACACGTCGGACGACATCTATTTGACCAAACAATTGGTCCGAAAGGACTTCTTCGCCACAAAACACGTGTTTTAGTGACAAATAAGGCGTCAGTTTTGCCAGAAGTGGACAAAATAATTGTCTTAAAAGAGGGATCCGTTTGTGATTTCGGATCATTTGATGAACTGATGGCCAAAAGTGGAGAATTCGCTGAATTTGTTGCCGAATATGTCGTTAAACAGGAATCCGAAGACATCGATGAGAAAGAGATGCAAATTCTGGCAAAACTGAGACAAACAGTAAACTGATGGCCAAAAGTGGAGAATTCGCTGAATTTGTTGCCGAATATGTCGTTAAACAGGAATCCGAAGACATCGATGAGAAAGAGATGCAAATTCTGGCAAAACTGAAACAAACAGTGAAACCATTGATTGAAAAACAATTGTCCGTCAGATCTAATGACAGCGATATTATGTCTAAGAATCTGTCAAGAGATGTGTCCACAAGTGATTTAATTATAGCGAAACCATCTGAAGAGCAAACTCAAGAGGAAGTGTCTAATGAAAGTGAAAACAAGCCATTGACTGAAATGCAAGAATCGAGTCAATCTGATTCCGAAGAATGTACTGTTCGTAAGCGAAAGCCAGAACCAAGAAGTGTTTCAACCGGTGATAATGAAGCCAATAGTGGGCCCAATAATAGTAAAGACAAACCGCAAGAAAAGCCACAGAAAACGTCAGGAAAATTAATGTCCGACGAGAAGACAGAGAGCGGTTCCGTGCGATTCAATGTCTACAAGAAGTACTTCCAGTTGATGGGTGTCGGGACTGTTGTCGCTGTCCTATTGGCGTACGTGTGCTCATCCGCTGCCACAGCGGTGTCGGGACTATGGCTTAGCGATTGGTCAGAGGACTCGCTGTCCGGCGGCGACCAACAGCCGGGCCTACGATACCAACGACTTGGCGTATACGCGGCCGTCGGTCTACTGGAGATGGTGTCGCTGTTTGGCGCTCAGGCGTGGCTTAGGTTGGGCTGCGTTACGGCCGCTAAGAAACTGCACAATCAAATGCTGGATCGGGTGGTGAGAGCGCCCATGTCTTACTTCGGTATGTAATCATACATTTATATCTTGTAATACAGTATATGATTATCAACTTCTTCGTGACCACCGATAGACACGACACCAATCGGGCGGCTATTGAATCACTTCGCGCGCGATACGATGGACGTCGACACCGACATGATCTTCGCGATGGACACAATTGTATTACAGTTGTTGCGATTGGTTGTGCTCATCGGTACCATAGGCTACGAACTGCCGCACACTTTGCCGTTAATAGCCATCGTTCTGGCCGTCTATGTCGGGCACCAACGGGTCTATACGGCCAGTTCGCGGCAACTCAAGCGCATAGCGTCGGCCGCCGGCGCACCCATTATTGGCCACTTCTCGGAGTCCAATAACGGCACGGAGTCTATCAGGGCTTACGGCGCGGGCGACCGGTTTGTGACCGATTTCCACCGTTTGAGTGACAACCGGAACCGTTGCCATTACGGCTCCGTATTGGCCGACTGTTGGATCGGTATTAGACTGAACTTCTTGGGCCACTGTCTGGTCCTATTGATGGCCGTATTTGCGGTGCTATTTCGGGCCGACCTGAGCCCCGGTATGACAGCCCTATTGATTACCTATACGTTAGACATTACGGTTGCGTTAAATGGCTTTATTCGCGAAGTAAGTCAGACAGAAGTGGCGATTGTGGCCGTCGAGAGGTGTCTAGAGTTAATGGATATACCGATCGAGGTTTGCATTATATAATTGTTGAGTTAATCATAATATATAAAACTAATTATTTGTCTTAAAAGGCCGAGTGGTATAATGAAAAGACTAAACCCGCGGACAACTGGCCAACAATGGGTTGCATTGAGTTCAGAGACTATAGCACTAAATATAGAGAGGGTTTGGATTTAGTGCTCAAAAATATAGCAATTGATATGAAAGGCCGACAAAGGGTTGCGATCGTCGGCCGCACCGGCGCTGGAAAGTCGTCCCTCGCGTTGGCTCTCTTCAGACTCATTGAGCCGACGGCCGGAACCGTTACCATCGATGGCGTCAACTGCTCTA